GTTGTGTCTCCGGTGACGCTATAATCTCTCCGGCGAAGCTATAAGCTCTCTTTCTGCTCGTATCTCCTCTTTGATTTTTTTTTTTAGATCTATGATTTTTGTTTTAGATTTAGGGAATATTTTTGTAGATCCCTATTTATTTTTGCATATCTTTACTCCTTTATTTCAAATCTATGTTATATTATTGTTTATTTTAACATCAATCACTCTCTGTGTATGCATATGTGTGTGTGTGCGTCTGGTGGCTGGCGTGCCACTTTGTGTATGTGTGTGCATCTGGTTTGTTTGGGGGGGGGGGGCACCTGGTTTGTTTGGGTGGTGCATCTAGTTTGTTTGGGAGGGGGTGCATCTGGTTCTTTTGGGGTTGATTCTTTTGCGTTGATGTTTAACAACTTTTATTTTGGGTTGATGTATTATACACTATTTTATGAGTTAATATATGTATTGGCATATAATCATGTGGATATGGTTTATCAAGAATTAAAATAAATGTAAAATATATGACATAAAATAAAATGGTTACCAAACATATTTTATGTTTTAGTGTTTAGATTTCGTAAAACAACAACTACATCCAAACACGTTTTTTGTTTCAACTTTTAACCAAAAAAAAAAAAAACAAAACATTGATTCTATTTTTTATCTTTTTGAAAACATGAAAACGAAAACATCACCAAACGCACCCTTACCCATTATGGAAACATTTTTCAAGTATCAGACGTGTTTCCACCCAAGGCCATCCTATGGGCTCGCTTTGAGGATAGATCCGGGTTATGACTCTTATTTTTTGATTTGGTAGTTTTTGTTTCCATTACATTGGTCTTGTATAAATTCCTTAAACAAAACCTGTATTTTGAATTAAGGCAGGTATATGAGACTCTTTTAGACATTTATTCTTTTATGAATTAATGCATGTATAGATGATGGTTATGGGTAGTATTCAATGTTATGGAATTGAATTTTGATGAATGGACCTGGTGTGGTCAATATTGTAGCTCTATCAAAGCCTAGGCTCTCAATTTACCTAAGTTTGGTATTAGAACCTAGGTTTTCAATTTACCTAGGGCTTGTAGGGCATGGGTGTAGGTCATTGCATCTGTTGTGCATTATATAGTACATGTATTAAATGTTACATGCTATGTGTTATGAGATTATATGCATGATTAAATGTATATAGGAATTAGGGACTAGGGTTAAAATACATAACCTTAGAGTAAGGAAAGGAAAGGATGAGAAAGCCTACTGTTTGGGCACCTATCGTTAGATAGTGTACCTCCTATTGGTAGGACAAGAGGAGATTTTTCAAAATTTTTCTACAACTTTAAATTTTGATCCCTAACTTTGGGATACTAGGTTAGTAGTCTATTGCTATCTTATGTGTGTAGATGACAACTAGAGGAACGGGACGTCGGGGTGGACGGAACAACCAACCACCACCACCACCGGCTTTCGGTCAACAAGCCTTCATGGAGGCTATGGGTACTGTGGCAGCAAACTAAGTTCAGGCAAGTGCCAACTTGGGACAAGGAGTCTTGAGCAACCTCTAGAAGTTTAAGTCCTATAAACCACATACCTTCAAAGGGGAAGTGGATCCGATGGTAGCTGGCCATTGATTCCAACAAGTGGACAAGATTAAAAAGGCAATGGAGATTACATCCGATGCCACCAAGATGTGGCTGGCCACTTTCCAGCTTGAGGGATTGGCCCATCAATGGTGGACATGGGCAAGGATCTCGAGAGACATCGAGATCATGACATCGGAAGAGTCTTAAGAGCTCTTCATGAACAAGTAGTTCCCTTTAGTTCTTCGGCTAGTCAAAGCCCGACAATTTTTGGACTTGAAGTAAGGAATGATGATGGTTATGCAATACATGGCCAAACTCATAGAGTTGGGACATTATGCAGATGACTTCGTGGCCACAAATTTGCCTAAGGTGCAGAGATTTGAAGGTGGTCTAAGCTATCCATCTGGGGGAAGATCGTTGGCCATAGGTTACGAGACCGTAATGAGATGGTCAAGAAAACCATGGTTATTGAGAGGGAGGACAACGAGCCAAGAGTATCCGGGAGGCCAAAGCCAAGGACAAGAAGAAGGAAGGTTAGTCCTCCATTACTAGTTTGGTAAGAAGTAGACGACTTCCACCCCATAGGGATCACAGGGGCAGGGCTAAGGCTAAGGCCAGTGTCAATCTTTCCAAGGAGGGAAGAACTCTAGGGGCACATCACAGGAAGGCCCACAGACATGTTTATATTGCCACTAGTTGGGCCACTTGAAGAGAGAGTGATTGTAGAGACAAAAAGCACAGAGCTATGTGGCATCTCAGTCTCAATCATCAGTGAGACCACTCCAAACCTTCTATGTTCCTTCTTTCCCCATTATGGGTCAAGAGAGCCAGTACCAATATTAGACTATAGAGTAGGCCTTCACAGCTTCACATGCGGGGACACCCCAACAAGGTTAGACAGGTCAAGGAGCAGACCAAGGCTGGGGACAAGGCTATCGGATTGGTACATTAGGGACCCCGAAGCGAGTTTTTGTTGTCACTTTTTAGATCGAGTCAGTGGATCAGTCGATGATTCAGGGTACATTCCTTTTATCTTGGTTATAGGCAAGTGTGTTATTTGATTCGGGTTCATCTTATTAATTTATTGTTGCATCAGGTGTACAAGATTTGAACATAGAGGTTGAAACCTTAGAAGAGCACTTATATGTGAGTTCACCCATAGGACCTAGGGTTTGCATAGACAATATTTTTTTGGCATGTGAGTTAGAGATCGGAGGGACCCAACTCACCGTTGACCTTAGGGTCATTGAGATGATAGAGTTTGATGTCATACTCGGGATGGATTGGTTGGCAGCACATAAGGTTGTCATTGATTGCGGAGCAAGAGGGTTACAATCTATACTTCAGACGACGTTTGTTTCAAATTTCAAAGGGAGAAACACCATGTTTTACCTTCAATACAAGGTGAGACAAGAGTTGGGTCTGCCTTGAGTCATGTGAAACTATGCAAATCTTTTTCCAGACGAGTTACTGGGGTTGCCACCGTATTAAGATGTAGACTTCAATATAGAGTTATAGGTTGGTACATCCCATATTCTATGACATTGCATAGGATGGAATCGAAGGAGTTATAGGAACTTAAAGTTCAGTTATGTAAGCTATTGGATAGAGGCTTTAGTAGGCTAAGTACCGCACCTTGGGGGTACTCTGGTGCTATTTTCCAAGAACAAGGATAGGACACTTAGACTTTGCATTGACTACCGGTAGTTGAATAGGATCATTATCAAGAACAAGTAACCATTACCGAGGATTGATGACCTTTTTTACCAACTGAGAGGAGCATGGTTTTTTCCAAGATAGATCTGCACACAGGGTACCATCAATTGAAGATTAGGGATGCCAATATTCTAAAGAAAGTTGTCCAGACGCATTACGGGCATTTTGAGTTTATAGTTATGCCCTTTGAATTGACGAATGCTCAAGCAACATTTATGGATCTCATGCATAGAGTGTTTTAACCCTACTTAGATTAGTTAGTTGTGGTCTTTGTTGATGACATACCGATCTATTCTAAGTTGGAGGAGGAGTATGAGGGTTACTTGAGGATCATGCTGCAGACCTTGAAAGACCATCAGTTGTACGCCAATTTTAGCAAGTGCAAATTTTGGATAACCGAGGTGAAGTTTTTGGGGCACGTGGTGTCTACTTCGAATGTGTTAGTGGACCCGAAGAAAGTTGTGGTAATTATGAGTTGGGAGACGCCTAACTCAGTCTTCGAGATACACAGTTTCTTGAGATTGACAGGATATTATCGGAGGTTCGTGAGGACTTCTCTTGACTAGCTGCATCTATGACTAGGTTGACCAGAAAAGAGGTCAAATTTCAGTGGGATGACTCGTGTGAGAGGACATTCTAGGAGCTGAAGGGGCGGCTGACTTCAGCTCCTATTTTGATTATCTCTTAGAGGGGCAGAGGTACACAGTTTATTGTGATACCTTAAATGATGGACTTGGATGTGTTCTGATGCAATATGGGAGGGTGGTAGCTTATGGTTCACGATAGTTCAATAGTCACGAGCAGAACTACACCACACACAACATGGAATTGACGACTGTTGTCTTTGCCTTGAAGATATGACACCATTATTTGTACGGAGAGTAGTTTGAGATATTTTTAGATCATAAGAGTCTAATCTAAAATATATATATAACTTGAACATTTCCTTATCCTTCTAACTTGACGCGGCTACCCACTCAAGGTCATTGTTAACCAAAGTAGTCAAGACCCAAAATAAAGTCATTTGAATAATATATCTTTAACGCTAAGCAACCATACCCAACCATAGTCTAGTAACCCACAATAGGACATTAGAATTAGCACGCCATGATGGTAAACTACTTGCCTCGGTAGACAAGAGTCAGAGATGAGTCATAAAAAAAATTAAGAGACCAAGTCTCCAATCATTTGGGGACTTCTCTATAGTAGTCTCCATAACAGATGATTCAATTTTGGCTTTGAGGTAGCTCAAATAGTTATGGAATTAAATGGGTTCATACACGTCACTGTCGGAGGGACCAAGAGAAGGGTGTGATGAATGGAGAAGGGGAGGAAGGAGAGGAGAGAGAAGGGAGAGAGAGGCTACTTCCTCAAGACTTAGAGCCTTAAGGGTTTACATTCATCCAAAAATTATGTGGACCCACCATCTTAACGAAATGAGGGATTTCATTGAAACTTCTTTATTTTCTTGCCATTGCCATATATCTATTAAACTTCCCATGGGAACCATCACTAAAACAAACTTGAAAATTTAAAGTAACTTTTTTGAATTTGTCTTGACCATTCACCTGTTGACAAAATAAAGAAAAAGCTAGTGCCATGTGAGTAGAACAAATCTGTACAAAGCCTTTTGCATATTACACATTTCTTTTAATAATAAACATATGGGGTCCGCATGTTTTCATGTTTTAATTACCATGGAATAAAAATTCATTCTTAATGGCAATCGTTAACCATGCCTTAGCGGAGACCGATGATTGCACTAGACATCTGAGCATGAGGACACTATTGTTTGACTGTAGCTTGGAATTAATGTTGTATTTTGCGAGGACCAATGAGAGTTGTTCTGTGACTAGAGCTGACACAACTCAATATTGACTATAATGGTTGATGAAAATTAATGGTAGCTGCATGTACCACTGATGATGACATGAGCCACAATGATAGTTGACCTATCAATCTCATAACTTTTCTATAGTATTCTTAAAATGGTGAACACCATTATTTATTTAAATAAGGATTATACTTTTAAAGAATTCCTAAAAGTTTCTTCATTTCCATTACCGTCTCTCTCTTAAATTCTCATGGCACAATGGGACCCATCACTTTTCAAATTTGGGAACTTGTAGTAACTTTCTTGGAATATTCTAGTTACTCATCATTTGAAAAAGAACAATAGCCATGAATTAAGGGAAAACCCATCATTGTATGGGGGTTCTGCCGTGGCTTGGAGGTGGACTAGCGTGAAGATTGATGATTCCTACTTGGGCCTAGGCTTTGGAGAGAAGGTTGTTGTCTATGATGGGACTTGTTTGGAAAACTGGACTGGTGAGACCTTGCCTAACACACTAACCCAGCTTGTTGTGATGGAGTTGGCACTAACTGTCGCAATAACAGTTCAGATGTTGCACCCCTGGCCTTTGTCCCCAAACTCCCCCTCCTCTTTAAATAAAGGAGAGAAGGCCTTCTCCACTCATCCCTCCTGTCTCATTCTTCTCACTTTTTCATAGAAGTTTTAATACAAGTTACTTCAATTTTTTGTTTTACAAGTACTTAGCCTTACATTTCTTACAAGACCTTTAATCACAATTTCTTCTTTGCAAATATTTTCCACTCCACTCTGTCTCTTCTTTTTTGCAAAGTATCTAGTCTACATACATATACATATATATATATATATATATATATATATATATATATATATATATATATATATATATACTTTTTTCAATGACTTTTCCCTTGCATCATATTTTTGTTCCCTACACCAATTTTTTATATATATTTTTTTGCCCATGGCCGACCATCGTCATATTCACGCAGGTCCAGTACCTTCATCTGAGGAGTGGTATTGTGCCCCCTTTTTCGGTGGTGATGTTGATCAATTTTTCGAGTATCTTTGTAGCTATGTGCCTGAGGGAGAGAAGCCAACCCATCCCTTATTTTTGGATCCCCTTGCGCATCTTTATAGGACCCCTTGTATTGATCTTGAGTTTGTGTTTCATATGCCATTGAAGAGGGGAAACTACCCTTATTTTTTTATTGACTTTAAGACTTCATTCGTTCTTTCTACCAGCTGTTGTGAAAGACATCTTAAGAGAACTCCCTCGAGGTTGCAGAAGTGTATCATTTTGCCTATCACGGTGAACTGGCTCAGTTTTTTAACCGGTATTTCTCCTATTCTTTTTTCCAACTATTCCACTATAGGGGTTCTCTAGTCTTCGCAATATGTGGCAAGGAAAATTTCAATGATAGGACTTGGTAGTGTCTGTCTTTTTACTTGGATTGTCGCTTCTTCTTCTACCATGTCTAGTTTTGATGCCAAAGTAGCCAGCGCATCGGGAAACCTATTCTCTATTCATGGGGCATGCTCAATTGTGGCTTCCTCGAATTCGTCTAGAAGCCTTTATCCCAATGCCTTGTACCTGGCAAGTATTGGCTCCTTTACATCATATTCCCTGGTTACTTACTTAATGGTAAGTTTTGAGCCTCCCTAATTTGGATGTTTTATATACCAAACCTTTGTGCCACGAGTAACCCTAGAACTAATGCTTCATATTCTACCTCGTTGTTGGTTCATCGGAAGTCCAATTTGTATGAAAAAGTTATTTTTTCTTCGTTTTCAGGGCTAGTCAGCACTATTCCTACTCCCCCCTCACTTGGGATCAATGAGCCGTCAAACGCTAAGTGCCACTTGGGCGAGGGTGTGACGTCCATTGTAGTAAATATTTCTATAATGGATATGGGTTCTATAGTTGTGAAGGGTCCCACGGCCTTTGGGGGTGTCATGCCTATAGGAAGCCCTTACTTTGATTCTCCTCCTAGCAGCTCTTCTTTAAGCGGTTTGCACTCATTATTTGGGAAATAGGCCCATAAGTCAGGCAAAGTCTGGCTTTTTATCACTTTTGACGCTACACACTTGATATTAAATTTCAACAGAACAAGAAGCCAATGTGATGCCCTTCATGTCAGGGTAGGGCGCGTTAACAAATATTAGAGAAGGTCGCACTTGGTTATCCACTTGACCTCATAAGTGAGAAAGTAGTGTAGCAACTTCGGTGCCGAGAATACCATGTCCAGACAATGTCATTCCAGCTTGGGGTACCTCGTTTCTCAATCTTTCATAATAAGATTGAAGTAAAAGATGGGCCTCTCTAGACCCTCCACCTCTTGTGCTATAAATTCTCGGACAGCCTTTCTAGTGGAGGTAAGGTATAGTAACAAGGGTTGGCCTTCCCGTGACATGGCCATGGTTTGGGTGGAGCCGAGGGCCCTCTTAATTGTGCCGAGAGTTTGTTGTTACTCCACATTCCAATTGAATGGTGCTTTTTTCTTGAGTAAAGGGGTGAACGACATGGTCACCTTGGAAAGGGATGGAATGAATCGTTGTAGATAGGACACCTTCTCAAGGAAACTCTTCAACTGCTTCTGTCTTCTAGGCTTGGGCATATTCTAAATAGCCATTATCTTTCCTGCATCTGGATCTATGTTATGCCGATGTACCAGGAAGCCAATAAATTTTCCTATTATTACCCCGAAAGCACATTTTAGGGGATTCATGTGTATGTTATACTTTCGGCACCTTTCGAATACTTTTCGCAAGTCTGCCATATGGTCCTCCTCCTTCCATGATTTTACAAAAAGATCATTGACATAGTCTTCGACAATATCATGCATCATATCATGGAAAATCGTAACGATAACACATTGATAGGTCGCGCTTGTATTTTTCAGCCCAAAAGGCATTACTGTATAATAGAAGTTGTCAAAGGGGGACTTGAATGTAGTTTTTTCTACATCTTCCTTAGCCATCTTGATTTGATTATACCCCACAAATACATCCATAAAAGACATCATCTCATGCCCTAAGGTAGTGTCGATGAAGATGTCGACATTTTGCAACGGGAACTCATCTTTTGGGCATGCCTTGTTCAAGTCTCCAAAATCTACACATATCTTGATGGCCTCGTTATTTTTCTTGATGAGGACTATATTTGACAACTATACAAGGTGCTGGATAGGCTTGATGCAAGTAACCCGCAATAGCTTTTTCAGAAATTCCTTGATTTTTATCATCATCTCGGGGGCGTAGTTTCGTAAGTGCTATTTAATAGGCTTGTCTAAGGGGTAATTGTTTAGCTTATGATAGACTAGGCTTAGGTCCAATTCGAGCATCTCTTCATATTTTCATGCAAAAACATCGGCATATTTTATTAGTAGTGCTAAGAACGCCTGCCTCTTTTCTAGGGATAGCCCCTTGCAGATGAGGACTAGTCACGGTGATTCCCCAAGTGGGGCGAAGTTTACTTCCTCAAGCTCCTACTCATGCGACTTAGGGCGATCCTTCACGCATTCTAGTGCAGGGACCATGTTAATGGGTGTCACGGTGATGTTGACCTCTGCTTCATGCACCTTGTCTCATGGACTCACCCTCCCAATCTTGTGAATGGTCCCCCCCCCCCCACATCATTATAACTGGTAAGTGACTCGCCTGCCAGGTAGGACGCGACAAATACATCTCTTTGGAGCCTCCTACCACAAGGACTCTTCAACTTGCCTTTTTCCTCTGGCTCGTTCTTCAAGCCTTTCTTTTACACTAATATTTTAAGGTGTCTCATAGACTTCTTGATGGACCTCCTCCTAGGAAGGGATAGGGAAAGACAAGAGACTTGTAGCGAACCGACGGCTTCATCGTCCTCAACCACTTTATCGTATAGTACTTCCTCTGCCAAGTGTGCCTTATTGTTGCTAAAGGGATCCTCGGTCGCAGTTATTGTCACTTCCTTTCCATTCCAAATCATCTTCATGCACTAGTGGTATGTATAAGGGACTGCCTAAATCATTCATCCAAGTGCACCCAAGGAGTTGTAAGAGCATCGATCATGTAGAGAGTCGTGGGTACCCTCATCTTCCCCATGACCAAGGAGACAGTGACATACCTAAGGGTCATTTTCTTGTACTGGCGAACCCAGTGATGATAGTTATTTTTCTAACGAAACTTGACTCGCGGAGCCGAAGCTGCTCGTATGTGGACAGAGGCATGACATTCACTGAGGCCCAATTGTCTAGAAAAGTCCTTTTCAACTATACCATATTAATCTTGGTAGTGACGTAGAGGGGGCGATTGTGCTTCTAGGGCATTTGGCGATCCCCCTCTAAGAAGGTGATGACATTAGACCTTTTGTTGATACTATAGGACACTGAGCCTTCCACAGCCATGCACTTATCAGGGCCTAAGGGCCCCTTAGTACACAAGTCCATGGTGGCCTTGGTGGCTGCTAGTTTGGTACCATCAGTAAGTCCCAACTGATTAAAGAAATTTTTGAACTTGACTGTTTCCTTCAAGATGCGTGCACCTGCGTAGCGGTTAATCTCTAGTGCATTGTGGTAAACTTTCGGGGTCTCTCGACTTAACTGGATTTTATGCCACTCTTCGAAGTTATCTTTCGCTATATCCTCAATTGCGCCATAGAACGACACCATGTGCACCTTATTTCCTTCTTCGTAGTCAATGAGGGTCCGATCGTAGACATTGCCACTGGCGCACATCAGTACCAACTCTCCACTCTTTAAGCGCTTTTGAATTAGTTGGTGCATTCTCTAACAGTCCTTAAGGTTGTGCTTGGTGTGGCGATGAAATTCACAAAAGGTCGGACAATTTTTTTCTTCTCTAGTTGGCTCTTTTTCCACCGGTTGTAGCTCGACATCATCGTTCTTGATCCATTCCATGAGAATCTTCTGGACTTTTTTCATGCCACAAGGATACAGAGGTGGCTCCTTGGGCTTGGAGGCTCTCCCTCGCTTCTTTGGACATGGCTCCTTTTTGGGACCTCCTCGACAACTATAACAGTTCCTTCTTTCTTTTTGTCCTTCTAACCGGCTATCTTGAAGGAGGGTTGGACAACCTCTGAGAGCCTTTGAGTAGACTCACATAGCCTAGTAGAGGTTTTGAAATCACTGTTCACTAAGTATGCCTTATATTTGTTGTGCATTCTGTCGATGCAGATTTGAACAAGGGCCTCTTCGTGACATTTTCCTGGCATTCGATGGCTTTGTCGCCAAACTTGTCAATGTATGTCATCAAGGCTTCTCCATCATCCTGAATGGTATTCGTCAAGAAAAGTATTGTCGTACGCTGTTCAACATGGAAGAACTTTGCATAGAACTATGCAACCAAGTTATCCCAGTCCCTCACCGATTCTGTCGGGAGGTTAGCATACCAGGTGAAAGCCCTGTCCTTGAGGGACTTCAAAAATTCTCTCATCCAAAGAGGCTCGTAGAGCACATAGTGGCCAAGGCTATCAAGATAGTAGGTAATGTGCTCCTAGGGGTTACCATTTTTTCCATCAAACTTCAACGGCGAATACCCCACAAGATACATAGCTTGTTGCACAACTGGGGTAAACTTGGACTTTATGTCCATGGTTATTGGAATGGGCTCCTTTTGCCTATCCAGTAAGGCTTGGACTTGGGCCAGCGTGACAATCCCCGCATTGGGCATTGGCAGTTC